GCGGGGCTGGGCTGGGGGCGAGGGGCGCTGCTCCGCCCCTCCCGTCCGTTGAATCCCGGGGGGAACGTTTAGTGGAAGGGGAAAACGCCGCGCACCCCGAGCGCCTTCCTTCCTCCTTCGAGGAAGTGAAGCAAGGCGAGGCAGCAGCCGGAGCTGCCAAACGTGACTAAGCGCCGGCAGCCTCCGGGAAGGCAAAGTCCTGATTGCCTCGTTTGGATCATTTATTTACTTCTCTGTTCCCCGTGGCCGGTTTGGTGCCAGCCGCGCGGGGCRCTCCCGCAGGATGCCCGCGCTTCCCGCGGCCGTGCCTTTCCCAGCCCAGGCGCCGCGCTGAGACTTGCCCTTTTGTTTCCCCCCTGCAGGTCAATGTTGGCTGCGTCCCCAAAAAGGTAAGGGCGGTTTTGGCTGCCGTTTGCGCTTGCAGCACCTCGGCCTTGGGTTTGTCCCGGCACGGGCTCCTGTGCAGCGGAAKGGAGCCCAAGCCGCACGTGGGAGGCCCCAGAGGAGCCTTCCCGGCCTCCGTGCGCCGTGCAGGCGGGATGAGGACCCCAGTGCCCGCGTGTTTGCACCGGGGCAGGGTGTCGGGGCAGAACTGGCCGCCCGGGCCRCTTGTCTGAGAGGCCCTGTTGTAGAGAGGGCTCCCTTGCAAGGATTGTGTGCKGCTCCCTGACCTCTGTGCGCCGGCACAAGCCCGGGGATCGGGCTGCATCTCCAGGGGTGTTTGTGAGCAGCAGGCATGGGGTTGTCTCCGCGTGCCCTCCAGGGCGCTGCTGTGACCAGCCCTGGGCCCCTGAGGCTCTTGTGGGAGTCGGATGGTCCCTCGGGGTTGGCGTTGCCCGCGCCGGGGCGCGCGGTGCCACCTGGCTCAGCGCCTCTCCGTGCGAGCAGGTGATGTGGAACGCGGCGCTTCACGCGGAGCTCCTCCACGATCACGCCGATTACGGGTTCGAGGTGGCCGGCAGCAGGTTCAACTGGAGGTGAGCTCGCGAGYGGACCGGCCGCCTTCTTGGACACCCTCCGCTGCGGGCGTTCTGCTGCGTTTGTGCCCACTGGCACCCGTGTCGGTGCCCTTGGGCCCTGCGGAGGCCTCAGCCCTGTCTCCCGTGGGATGCTCGGTGCCGGAGCAAGCGGCCGGCCCGTGCTGTGCGCAGAGCTTGTGCCCTGGGGCGCGGCGCAGCGGGTGCTGAGCTGGCTCTGCGCCGGCGCTGCCGCCTGTGCGSTGACAATGAGCCTCTTTGTTACAGAACTATTAAAGACAAACGCGATGCTTACGTGAGACGCCTGAATGAGATCTACGAAAATAACCTCAAGAAGGTGAGCGCGTTTTTATTCCGTGGCCCTGGTCTGGAATCGGACTCCTTTTCCTTACAGCTCCATGCGAACTCTGAGAATTTGATTTGAGCTTCTGCTTTACGTTTACCGTTCCAGTAACTCAAAATTGTCCCTCTGGGATCAGCGCGAGAGGGAGGGCCTGGTCCGGACAGTTGGTAGGAGCTTTTCCTCTGCAAAGCGGAGCAGGGAGTATTTGGAGTCCAGGCTGGAGCGGGGGGTCAGGATACTCCTGCCAGTCTTACTGTGTTCTCAATTGTGCCCAGAAACTGAGCTGCTTGTAACTCTCTGGAAAGCTACTGCGGCTTTGGAGCCAGCTTGAGAGATTGAAAGAGAGGTGCCATAATGGCCTCACTTGGAGAGGGATGTCGGAGTGTGAAATGTGTCGGGATAGTGCATGGAATTGTCACTCAGCGCTCTGTTCCCAGGAGTGGACAGTTCCAGCTTTACAGGCCTTTTCATCTGCCTTCTGTAGCTGGGTGACACATCGGCGGGAAGGATTTGTTAGCTGGCTCCAGCATCTAGTTCTCTGGTTAAGAAAATAACTGTGTTTTCTCCTGCGTTTTCCTAATAATATAACCTGCGTTTCCGCGTTAATGAAATAACTGGGTTTCCAACAATTACTTCCTAGGCTCGCATTGACATCATTCGTGGCTATGGGAAGTTTACAGCCGATCCGGAGCCTACAGTGGAAGTCAACGGCAAAAAGTACACGGCTCCTCACATCCTCATCGCCACGGGCGGGCAGCCGTCGGTCCCTCCCGAGAGCGACATTCCCGGTGCGTCTTCGCCCGCTGCGGGCCGCGTTGCGGCGGGCAGGGCCTGCTCTGACGGGAGTGCAAGTTGTCCTCGCTTTGCAGGTGCCAGCCTGGGCATGACCAGCGACGGCTTCTTTGATCTGGAGGAGCTGCCCAGGTGAAGCGGCGCCCTCCCTCTGGCCTGCGAGCAGGGAGCCGGTGCCTTCTCGGTGTCTCCAGGAGGGTGGTCCTCGTTGTGCTGGTCCCTTGACGCTGCCCCAGAGCTGGGGGGCTGCCTGGGCCCCCCGTTCTGCAGGGCTCAACCCGCTGCGCTCTCTCGGCCGAGCTGTCCGCAACCGCTCTCCTTGGGAGCACCCCCTGGGTGCCTCCCTGCGCTGTGGGTGGAGGGAAAMCGGGCACGTTTTCAGGCCTGGACGTTGTCAGGCGGTGCCTGGCTGGTCACGGCACCCCTGGATGCCCCCAGGATAAGGGGCCTGTCCGGGTGCCCTGTGCCTCCTTCCACGTGCAGCCCTGCTCCGGGCGCTGCTCTGCCTGCCGCCCTCTCCGCTTTGCTGGCGCTGCAGGAGGGAAGGCGAGGGTGACATTTCAGGAAGCCACAGGGATGCGAGTCGGCCTGGACCACGACCACAACGCTTGCAGTCACTGTGTTGCAAGGGGGTAGCGGCACAGGACGGTCAGCACCTCAGKGGGTTCCCTTGCTGGTGGAACAGCAAGTTTGTGCTGTGAGTGCCAGGCAGCTTGAGCACAGGATGGGCGCCCTCCTTTGTATCAGAGGCCTAGTAGGAAGGTGGAGAAGGAGGGCTGCAAAGGTGCTTTCCAAAGACCAGGAACCGGGGTGGCTTCCAGAAGATGCCTCGCGCTCCCAGCTTGGGTGGGACGTGTCACCCCGGCGCCGTGCGCRTCGTGTGCATGTGTCATTGCTTCCCCCAGGCGCAGCGTTGTGGTTGGCGCTGGGTACATTGCAGTTGAAATGGCCGGGATCCTGTCCACCCTGGGCTCCGAGTCCTCCTTGCTGATCCGTCACGACAAGGTGAGGCCCCCGGCGCGGAGCTTCGTGCTGCCGAGCGGCCTGGGGTGCTTCAGGGCAGCGCAGGGTTGCTGGAGGTTCCTGGCCATAGGGATCTCTCCTGCGAATGTGGCATGCTGGAGGTTCCTGGCCATAGGGATCTCTCCTGCGAATGTGGCAAGAGGGTTCGGAATGAGCCCAAGTGCTGCCATCAAGTGGGGTCTTCAGCATCCCTACAAGTTGCGGAGTGAAAGGCTTCACGTGGAGAGAGACAGGGAGGAAACGCTCGTGCTTCCTTGCTGCTTGATACAGAACAGGGACCCATGGAGCTAGAGCAGAGGAGCACGGCAAAAAGCAGGCATGCTGTCAGATGGGGGGCTCTAAATGTTAGGACGATGACTAGGGAAATGCAGGTGATCAAAAAGGTGAAAATGGAGATGAAGGTGAAGATATCGTTTAGCTCTTCAGAGACCCTCAGTGGAGTGAGAGCCTAGGATGGGCCGGGCAGGGTGTCCCTGGGAGTGCAGAAGAGCACAGCTGTGCTGCCAGGAGCGTTTCTGCAACACTGACCCGTGAGTAGGGCATCGGTGTAGAAGGGCACGCTGCTGGGCCAGTTCTCCTTAGCTTTATTTCGGCTCACAACCTGGAAGGAAAACAAACAAAACACAACAGAAAAGCAATCTGTGCTGTGAACCATCACCGACACCTCTGAGAGTCAACGGGGCAAGAACATAGTTGGAGAAATGCCAGCGGACGGGGCTGTGGGCCAGGGTCTCTGYGCGTGGGTTGTGGTCTCAGGGTGACGTTTGGCTTCCTGCCCAGGTGCTGAGGACGTTTGACTCGTTGATCAGTTCRAACTGCACACAGGAGCTGGAGAGCACCGGAGTGCACGTGTGGAAGCATGCGCTGGTACGGACGTGTAGGAGAGCCCTCGCCGGCCGCGCTGCTCGTGCGGCGCGAGGAGGAGGCTCTGYTGGAGCGTCCTGCCTCTAGAGGGATGGCCCTGGCT